ATTCATCTGTTATACTACGTATGTGGCAGCTGGCATATGTTGCCACAGTCCTCTCAAAGATTTTCCTCTTTTCAACTATACATTGATAGAAGTTTAATTAAAAAAAAATTGTAATAGTTTTTGTCTGCAAAACATTTAATAAACCAGTCTCTTCAATTTATGAGTGCACTCCTAAGTACTAAACTCCTTAAAGAGCTTTATTTTGAAACATTTTTAACATTTATCAAAACTTGATTTTTTTTAATTTAAATTGCATTCAATTCATTTTCCCCTTAAGAACAGAATCTTTAAAATCCCAACTAACAAAAATGAAACCACTAATTTACTAGAAGAGTGCTCAGGACAACAATACATACTTCTCCAATGGAAAACGCAAATAGTTTTCAAGAAACACTTTGACTCTAAATTAACTATGAGCCTCTTAAGTTCTTCAGCAAAAACACCTGTTTTTAAAGGTTTATTTTTTGACATTTATTGTCCTGACCCATATACCTAAGTAAAAAAAAGTTCTCTCCTCCAAAGCTGAGACTGACTAGTAAAATCAACCTCAAGGTGGACTTACCCAAGACTTTGTTCAGTTTAACATTCATTCTGAAGCTCTGTAAGGTCATTTCGTGATATTCCTCTGTGTGGTGACAGCAGAAATATAGAGATTAGTGGGCTTCTCAAGTTCAGCCAGCACACTGCCCAAGAGTCCTTTAATCAGTGGCCGTGGGATCGCCACAGGTAGGTTTTTATTCCGCACAGTCCCTGTCTGAGCCCGAGTGAGGGATCACCCTTTAGTGCGGCTTCTGACCGGGCTGAACTTAGAAATTGCCTTCCTGACCTTGTGCAATTTGAGTCTGAGGCTCATAACTCCTGCAGGCAGGAAAGCTCTTTTCTCAGTGGTCCCCTGTCATTTCACTGCAACGAAATCAGAAATTTGCCAAAGGGTAACAGCAGACTCTTATTCCACTCGCAGAGAGGGTTTTGCCTACTACAGTTCTGTAAACATGAGTTGGCATAACCATCCCCTTCTTTAGCTTTGCCCCCTGGAATCACCCTGGTTTAGAAATAACCCATAAAAATGATTAAATGAGAGAGAACATGACTTTTAGAAGTTTTGGTCTAAGGATGCCTACTTATAATAAAGTTTTTTTAAAAAGAAAATGTATGCTTTTACTGGTAGGATGCTTTTCTCTTCCATACAGCCTGGATAGTCTCAGACTAGTGGTAAGCAGAAAAGACTGTTTTACCTCAGTAGTTCCTCTGAGCCTGTCCTATCATGAGGAGCACTTACATTTGTTTCGCAAACAAAATTGAACTGGTAAGATAGGTCTGGGGTTTTTTTTTAAATTTTATTTTGGTGCTAATAGAATAAGATCATAAGGAAAGAAAGCAAAATTTTTTTTCTTGGTAAGAGCTTCAGCCACCATCTCTTGGAGAGAGAAGAGATGCTAAAAGGACTCTATATAAAAATTCACATTAACATGTTGCTTTTCCCAGGTAGAAGGAAACAGTGGTGATGCACTGGGGTTCCCAGCTGTGAAATCAGCCTTTCTCTCAAAAAGGTTTCTCCCACAGAAAGAGGCAGTATCCTGATGGGATGATCTTTACTTCAGATTATTAACTGAAGATGCAGATATTCTTGACAATTACACCCGCAGAAACATATTTCCTGTGTTGGGTAAGGCTGAGCTGAGTAAAGTCTTACAGAATCTAAATCTCTCTGAATGTCTTGGTCCACGCAAACCTGAAGTAGGACTTTGCTGTGATGCCAAACTCCATAAACTGATGTAGTATTGGATAGAATTCTACCCTGCTAGACACAAAAAGCTGTCCTTGCTAAGAGAGAGAGTGTTGCTGCTTTATATGAAGAGCATATATAAGACTGATATATAAGGACCTCAGTCTCCTGGAAATATGATTTGTATTACTTTATTTGTAGAAAATTTTCCTGAAGAGTGTGATCCCTCCTATTTAGTCCACACATGGAACTACTCTGACAAGCAGTTTTCTCATTATTTTCCTACTGAGAGCATCGGTCAGAACATCTTGGAGATGTAACAGATTGTACATCACGTCCCAGCATCAGGTTTGGCTTGTTCAAGATGGTTTTGTCTTCTACTTAAGCTCTACCTTGTCCCACAGTAATAATAAAGGCAACATAAAATCATTCAAGTACAAGATACCAACAGCATGGACATACCTCTGACATACCAGTCACATAATCCAGAGCAGAACTTCAACTGGTCAAAGCTCAGTGCAGTCATGACTAAGGAAAGGTTGTTGGATTGCAATTAAAAGATACAGCAAAGATGACATCAGTCACTGGAATCAGGGAAAGTGTCTACTTCTCATTGTTCTTTATTTAGCTGAGGTACAGCTTTTCCCTTCAGCTGTGATCAGCCATGCCTTTGCCACACCAAAATGAGATGATTATGAAGCAAGCAGCTAAAGACTATGCCTTCCATCCATTCTGACTGAAACAGCAGAGAACACAGACCCATTGCAAAATGGCAATATATTAAGAGATTCCTACAGCAGCATGGTTGGAGTCTTTTCTCTGAAGCAAGACACAGCTCTGCTCCTCTAAAAAGTATTGTAAATCCATATTCATATTTAAGCTCACACACAATGCCTTTCTTCTGCTAATTTCTAAACCAGTCATCACACAAGAAAACTACCGAAAAAAAAGAGAATGATAAAGGTTCAAGATCACATTGCTATATTTCCAAAAATAATATTATAGTACTACCCTGGAGCACAGGAAGCATTCACACCACGCTGTGAAAGAAGGAACTAAATATTACTAGCCAATGAGCAACCACATCAGGCATATGACATGCACTGGGCAATATCCCTGTTTGACCTCCCCTAGTCACTGACTGTACCAGCAACTTCAGACAACGTCAGGATTTAGAATAAATTGGAATCATTACTTTGCACCACAGAATGACAACAATTGGAAGAGAAGAGAAAATGTGCTTTGAGCAGTTTTGTCACTGTGCAAAGTCTGCTGATGATTTTACAAATTGCCAGATGGGCATCAAGGCCACATCAAGCAGATTCAGCTTAGCAAGTGACATTTGGGCTGCTGACACTGAAACAGCAAGCACACAGACGTCAGTTTTGCCTGTCTTCAGATTCATCAGTTCAATGCCACTCCTTTCTCACCAAAAGTAACTTCTAGATGAAACACCAATTTAATAACTTGAAGCTGGGTAATTTTAGTATTGGTTCAGCAAGTTGGCAGAAGTAAACAGCACAAAACTAGGGAATGCCTTGTTTTGAAATTGGTTGTTCTCAATTGTTTGACACTGCAAAGAAATACACAGACATTAAAGAAAACTCGGTGAACTTCAGGCACCTGGCATTACTGATGTACCTCCACCTGAACTTACAGCTTTACCTTCTCTTACACTACAACATTCTGCTAATGCTCATTGCCTCTCTTTGTCTTTACAGTCCCAGGTTTGTCTGAGTTTTATCCAGCTGAGAAGTGATGGCTACTTTCCAATGATAACCTGAGGCCTTGGTTGCCTTCACACCTTACCAAATTTCTTGAGATGTATTATTTATTTTTCAAGTATAGTATTTTACAAATTTAAACTATCTATTTTCTGTCTTGCTTTACCACAGTAGTGCTATTAAAAAAACACAGCACCACAACAACTTCATTTATTTTTTAAAAAGCCAGGATTTAGAGTAATGTAAATTGTGTGATTATGGGATAAAATAGATACTTAAAACTGTGTGCACTTCTATATTTGGGATCAAACTAGAAATTTAATCTTTCTGCTGGGCCCTAACATCCACAGTCTTATTTTCTTAAAAATAATTCTTTTGCTTTTTTTTAATCACCAAATTCTATGGAAGAAAATTTTTTCTGTGTATTAACATTTTATCTTGCATAAATGTATGTTTCAGCAGTTATGAAAATGAGACAGCTGACAGTTGACTACTATATGTGAACAGATGCTGCGAAAGCTTCCCTTTAAATAGTTCTGTCAATGCAATGTCAATTTTAGAAGCGACACCACTGCTGTTCTAGGACATGATCCTGCAAACTCTTATTCACACAAGGAGTTCTGATGATTTCCACAGAACATTTACATGACTCCGAAAGGTCAGGTCCTTAGTTGCAGAGCTCTCCTTAACAGTGACTGACAAATATACAACAAAGTTTTTAGTAGTGCCGAGCTCTGTGCTTTAGGGTAATGACATTTATAGTCAGCAGTATTCACCTAGACAGTACGTACATTTTCTTTTGGAAGTTACACGAAGCACATTAAATATGCTTGAGAAACCATTAAAGGAGCGAAAGCATTGGAGATAAAAAACGTCATGTGAAACCAAGCTTGCAGTATTAGGCAGAACTTTGAAAAATTAATCTGCCGAGAAGATAGGCTGAGCCTGAACATGGCACATCGCTGATCAGAAAAGAATCGTTCAATTCTGCCAGGATAAAACCAACACGACACACCACCCTCCCCTTTGTTAGCTGCATCTTCGTTAGCGGGTCTCTCGCTGGGGGTGAAGGTAAGCGGGATTTGCGGGAGAAGCCGGCGCGGTGCCCGGGCGGTGCTGAAGGACAGCGCGGCGATGCCGCCGCCGCCCGCCCGGCCCGCGGGGCAGCGCTCCCCAAAACGCCACATCGCCCCTCTCCCAGCGCCTCGGCTGAAAGCCGGGGAACTTTGGAGGGGACAGAGGATGGGGTAAGCGCCGTCGCCGCTCCCTGGGCTGCCGGCACTTTCGGTGGGGATGTGGGAGAGAGAGCGCACCTCGACCCGGGGCACGGCGGACAGCGCTGCTCCCTGCCAGGCTCCCCCAAATCCACACGCACATCCCCCGGGAGCACAAAGAAGGGACAGCCGGGGATGAGCTCCTGCCTCCGTCGCCAGCGGGCCGTGCCCGGGCGCGGCGGTCCCGCCGGGAAAGGCACACAAAGGCGACGCGGAGGGGGCTCGGTGCCCGCGGGAGCGGGGGGACCCGCACCCCTTCCCTTCCCCGGCGCTTACCTTCAGCAACACAAAGAGCCAGAGGAGACAGGAGCGGGCCCCCGGGGCCCCCCGCCGGCGGCGGTCGGGCATCGGGGGGGACGGCGGCCGCGGCCCGCGGGGGCGGCCAGGCAGGGGGGGCTGCTGCTCCTCTGCCCCCGGGACCCCCGCCTCTGCCCCCCGCCTCCCTCCGCTCGGCTCCGAGCCGTGCCCGGCAATGGCGAATTGCGGCAGCATCAGGCGGCCGGCGGCGGCGCCGACCTCCCCGCCGAGAGGCGCATCCTGCCGCCCCCCGCCCCTTTTATTTGGGGTTTGCGGCGGGGAGGGGGTAGAGGAGGTGGAGAAGGAAAAGGAGGAGGCGGCGGCGGCGGGTGGTGTCTCCCCTCCCAGGAGTTTGGGCGATCGCGCCTCTCGCCGCACGGGCAGGGCTGGGAGCGGCGGCTCCTCGGCGGGGGCGGCACCGAGCCCGGCGGAAGGCGAGGGACGGGAGCCGAGAGCCTGGAGCCGCCGCCCTCGCTCCCCCCCGCACCGCCCTACCCTCCCCACCCCCGGCCCTCCCTCTCCCGACAGCATCTCCCCGCCGCGGGCAGGAAAAGCAAAGCGGCGGGCAAAAAGCGCATCTCCGCTACCGCTCCCCATCAAGCACCCCAACCCCTCCCCAGTGTCGTTCTTCCCGCCGCGATGGAGGGACAGAAATGCCGCGAGCACCCCGGGCTGCCCGGCTGGCAGGGCAGGGAATGGACCGAGGCTTCGACTCCTGCGGGAGGAAGCTGCTGAACTGCGACGCTGCTGGAGCTACAGCTCCAGGAGCAGTGGCCGGTATCTGCTGAAGACACAACGCAGACTTCCCCGTGTCTGTTCTCAGAAGGCAGGTTAAACGTGTGGGCAGCTCTTCGGGTGTTTAAAGCATAGGTCTGAACCTTCAAGAGGTGGAGAAGAACTCATCCTGTCCCGCGAGATACTCAGGCCCAGTGATTAGAGGGGCACACGGACAAAACTGAGGTCACACCCCCTTGTTGTGTGTTCCCCCACCATCCCACCCAGCAATCCTGCAAGTTGATCAGAGCCATCTCCAAACTTAAACATAGGCAAGCTATTCAACTTAGCTTAAGAGGGCATCCTCAGAAAAAAAAAGAGTGGAAAGCCCAAAACAAAATCCCAAAGCACCTGAACAACTCCCCCATTCAACCACCATGATGAAAACAGTCTTTCCAAAATGAGAAGACTGCATCAGAATCTAGTTTGTCACAGACTACTCTCTCTCACACACCAGTATAAATTAGGATACATCCTTGGTGCCACTATCAGATCAGTAACAAACTCCGACCTAAACAAAATAGGGTTTTAAGTGTAATAACAAGGCTTTGTCTGGGGCATTAAACTTCAGAGCAACTTTGGACCTAGGTGTGGTTCCATTAATTATAGTAATGGGCCACCACCTCACTCTTCCTTAAAAAAATAAAGTAATGGCTAAAAGTAGATTCTACGATTGTTTTCAAATTTTCTAAGTCATTTAGGCAAGATGAACTCTATTAAAGTCTTGTGGGAATGTCCTTTAAACTGAACAACTGCAAAGTTGTTTAATAACAGCATTACTGAATTGGACAATAATGGATCTGTGTTTCAGAGCCCTACCTGGCTTATACATGGCATAATTTTGATTTCCTTATAATTTGGACCTTCAGTCAACAACAATTTGATTTCAAAGTGGCCAAAGCCAGAGAAGGATGTGCTTATTTTGTACTGAAATGGGCCCTTGAGCAGTGATTTGCCACACTTGATTGGGATTAATCCAGAAAGTGAAGGAGAAACTCAGCTCCTGTGTACATACTGGCACAAAGCCTAAATTTAGAAGTCCAAAAGGCAAATGCTATTCAAATCTTCATTTGTAAGAAGCTGGGGACAGAAAAGACCCACTCAATGCTACCAGTGAAGGACACAGACCTCTCTTGGGTACCCACCACACTTGGTGTTTTCAGCATTATTTAAAATTGGTATGCAAGGGGTTAACCATAGCTAAAATTCCTTCAGCACTCACATTTAAGATGAAGAGAGAGGTTATCTGAAAGACAAAGAAGTGCATTTCTTTAGGAAATTAAGATTGTCATCAGTACTTGAGAGCTGTGGATTGAATTTTAGGCTACAAGGCTCTTGTTTATTAAGAAAATTGAACTGCATCAGCCAGTGATTTTTAACCTTAGGACTGTATTTTATCCTTGCTTCTACAGCAATATTCCACTAATTTACAAATATTTAGACATTAAAATGATGATGGCATAAGCAGATTTTAAATATTAAAGATATATAAAGAGAACAAAATTGAATATAAAATGCTAGTAGCATTTTAGCCTCAGGACAACACTACCTGAATCAAAGAGTTAGAGTGAGGAATAGCTGAAAGAAGTGAGAAACGTTTCTGGAATGAAACCTTCAGTAAAAGACCAAGATATTAAAGCATTCTGGTCTGGCTGTTGCAGCACAGAAAAACGCAGCCAGGACAATTCATGGATTGCATTCTTTTTAAGTTGTGGGATACTCAACTATTTGAAGTTCCAGTGCCTTGAAAGATTCTAATCTGCCAGTAGAACCTAATCCTTCACAAAATGATCATTAAATGGTTTTCATTATTTAAAAAAAATAAATTAAAAAGGTGTTTTCCAGCAGCTATTCAGAAGTGTGCTAGGCACAGGCAATAGAACAGTTCCTCCCACTGAAAGCCCACACTCAAGCAGGGAAAGAAGGTATAATGTGAGTAAAGCAAAGACTGGCATACTGGAGGCATACCAGGCTTTTTCAATAGATGGTACCTGGAAAGATGTACAAAGCATTTCTTAGGAATGCAAGAAGTTAGGATATGAAAGATAAGCAAAATAATTTTTTTCTTTACTGAGTAAGATGAGTGAAAAGAAATGCAGAGCAGAAAAATGGGAGGATCTAAGAAAACAAGGGCAATCTTATTTGTTTCTAGAATTTAAAGAGTAAAACCGGCGAGTCTATTAATAAACCAGCAAAGCTTTAAAAATAACAAGACAATGAGATATCTTTCATGTAGTCATGGAAAAAAGAAACAGGACAATCAGTAAGTGTTTGCAACTGCTCAGTTAGAGAATCTAACTGATATGAGAGTATTTCAGAAGCTCCATAAGTCCCTCAAGCCCTCATGCACTGGTCAAAGGTACACCAACAGTCAAAAGGCTTCTAAAGAGCTCTGTAACTCTCTACATAATATCAGGAGGAAAGGAGGGAAGTATTCAGAAGCATGCCTCACAAATAAGCCTGGAATTCTGTTTATTCGAAAGAAAAACATTCAAACATTTGAAAAAAAAATTAAAAAGCAAAAATCAGCAAAAAAGTGCTCAAATGGGGAACACATTTTTGAGTCAAACAGGGCTTTTTCTGAATCAGATACTGTGATTTTGGTGATTTGAACTAAAACTTTTTTTTCCTCTCTGCTTTGCTTTCCAAAAATCTGAAAAAAACTTCTTGGCAGAGTACAAGCTGAAACACATTTCCAGTTACTGAGACAGCCCTATAGCAAGGACTGAGTCAAAGCCCTGACCTTGGCATTTGTGGAACTCCTGCAATATGGAGCAGCTAATTGAACAGGGAGTCCTTCACTCCACCAGCAAGTTCCCTTCACTCACATAAAACTGACACTTGTGAATATCTTTTCCCAGAATTTATCAAAGGTCATATGTGGCATTATGGAATATCCCGAATTGGACAGTACCCAAGGGATCATCCAAGTCCATCTCCTCCATTATAACATGGATACATGACAAGAGCATGTTGCATTACAAGCATATCTCATTTTCCCTTTGGAATATGTTCTAAGCATATGTTTGGAAGGCATCCTGATTTTTTCCTGGGCAATGATGTACACTGGGCCGCAGTGCATACCTATCAGAGCAAGTCTGAGGGACATTGGTTCTCTCTAAATGCACCTGGCAGAATTATGCCAAAGCATAATTCTCATATTTAGAGCAGGGGGACTGGACAGCAAGGTACATAACGGGGTATTATGACAGAGAGTCCTGTCTGTACTCACTAGATTTACTGTAAAATCTGGGGATGGATTATTTTCTGACATATGGTATGCAGGAACACAGAAAAGATACTGCAAGGTATTATAGGACACATCACTCGATGACAAAAACCTTTAAAAGAAAATCCTCTGTGTTTTAAGAGCACCACCTGCAAGCAGGACTCCACATCAAACACACGGTGTCCAGAGCTTCTCAGGTAGCTCATCAACCACTTGGAGGCTGTACAAGTGACCATGCCAGAGCTTTACCTTTAATTTAATGACCTGATAAATTAAAACAACCGTGGTCGCTTGTATGGTGATTTAATGAATGTAACTTCATAACTAGACCAGTACTAATTAACAGATACCACCCTTGGTTATCAGAGGAAAATAAAAATCAAGACATTTTGTGGTTTCAGTGTTTATAAAAATGTTCCTGTTGGTAGCTTACATGGATTTAATTTAAGGTTTACGGTCAATTCTTCACTTGCCCCTGAAAACCACAAAGCAACACTCAGTCAGATATACAAACTTTGCCTGGCCTAGGGGGAAAAGCTATAAATTAGCATTTATTCTGAGTTGCAGCATAAGCCCAGATTTATATGAAGCTTCACAGGCCTCAGCAAGTCAGGATATATATGGCATGAAATGAGGTTTACAAAAAAAAAAAAGCCTCCCTGTAAGTAGAACAAGTACTAGTCCATGAAATTTTAGAAGAAAATATATTTTTCAGTGACAGATATTCTTTTGAAAACAAAGTGTGGATCCTTCTTAAATGTATTCTCACCTAAAGCCCTTTCATTTCAATGACAGCAACGGATAAAACAATAACAAAAACAAGTGCAAGGGTGTCTAGAATAAAGCACATGGGTTGGCACTTAAATGTTCCAGTGCAAATTTATCTTCGCTCTCAGTTCAGGAAAGTACAGGCCCTGTGACTTTTAAAAGTACGTCCCACAGTCCCCCTAACAAACAAGTTGTCAGGTTTTTTTAAGGCCTGTCTTTTCATAACAGAAATGATTGACACACTTCAGTCGTGCAACCTGACCAGCTTCCAGAGGCTGATGTCTTTCAGCTCGAGAGAAGCAGTGAACTAGAGCGCCAAAGGTCATTTCCCTTTTTTAAAATAGGCAGGAATCTGTCTTTGACATTGAATCTTTTCATCGCAAATAAGCCTATGAGAAAGTTTGTCTGATGTTTATTTCCTTGAACACTGTGCAGTGTTCACTGAAATAATGAGTGGAGAGGAACTGGCTTGGTTTCTGTGCTTGGTTTTGTTGTTTGTTGTTTTTTTTTTCCAGGATGGAAGCAGTAAACTTACTAATAAAGGCCAATGAAATTTTTTAACATTTAAACAGTGTATGCCACTTTCATTTATCTGTCCTAGGCTATCTGGATACTACAGAATG